GTCAAGCGATGTACTCAATAGAATGCAACCAATGCAATAGTATGTACATAGGCGAAACCAGCAGACAAGTAATAGATAGAATGAATGGGCACACCAGATCCATAAATAGAAAGGATAAAAAAATTTTTTCTTTTATTCCAACACACTCAAAATACAGATCACACCTTCAACCTAAGTAACCCAAAAACCTTTTATACCAATATAAACAACGAACAGAAAGGACTGTACTTAGAAGCCCCCCCTTTTTTTTATTAAAACACGCCTGCATCAATAGACACATTGAAATTCCAGAATCATACACAGAACTCATAAATAGCAATTAAACGTACACTTCCCCATATTTAATACAGTAACTCTTGTTTCACAACTCTGTTCCATAGCTAATTCAAATTTCATAAGTTAGATTATTATATAATAGTTTTTACCTTAGTTTAGAAATATGTAAATAGTCTGGATACTTAGCATGTATCGAGAAGTTAATAGTGTTTTAATAAAAAAAAATTTGTAAAGATGTAAATATATTAGGTAAATATATAGCAGCTACTAACGATTCACCACCATCGCGTTGCTCCTGTAGAAGGACCACCATATCCGAAAGCTAGAACCTTATTAAGTGATTAAAAAAAAAAATACGCAACCTCGGAGTTTTATTATTTGTCATAAAGATTTCGCAGAGGTTAAGACATTGGAATTAGTTTACTATCTGGATATATGTGGGAGGGACCCTACTTGTAAAGATTATACCAACGTCTAACAGATAAGCTATAAAGACAACCAAACTATAGACTTAATAGTGGTCGGCTCTCCCATAAAAAAAAATAGACGCTGGAATGGGTCGCCATCCATTTTGCCGCCTCTACAGTCCAACGGACTCGGGTCCGTGACGCGCCCATTTTTGTGTCACGTTCTTTGAGATCATCCAACGACTTTGGGAGATCTCAGATAAAGATGAACATGTTATTATTAGAAACTAAAATCCTGAATATAGAAGACCAAATTAACACTTCTATTGAAGTATAATAAGTTGAAGTCAATATCTCAAATTAGATATCATGAAGTACCAGGTTTAGATTTTATTGGTAGAAAGATCTGATTAAACATGCAGGTATCCTTTAATCCCGATTTTTATAATAAAGATTCAACAAAATGCGTTGAATTAGGTTATTATCTGGATATATGGAAAGGACTCTATTTGTAAAGATTATACTAAAATCCAACAAAATATGCTATAAAACAAGCAAGACTATAGACTTATACTATTGACAATGACATTTGTAATATATTTAAAACAAAGGAAGGTTTCAGTAAAACCATAAAGAGAACAATCTAAGAATATAAGGCGGCATGAGTCTTATTAGATTTAAATCAGGAGGTGGTATAATGGGAAATATGATGGAATAACTCACTGAAACACAGACAGGAGAACTGGCTCCTATGGCAGGCACGCTCGGCAGTGTATGTTGGCCAGTAATTATTAGAAGACTTGATTATTAGTAACATTCCCTCCAAATAGATAAGAATCATACTATATTTCGTTTTAAACAATGAAAGAAGGACAAATTCTTCACGTTAGGATACAGATATTACTAAAACCTGACAGAGAGATACCTTCAAGGCAGCCCTAATAAAGTCGTATTTTGCAACTGTTGCTGTGTCAACATATCACAGCAAAAACATAGTACACAACTCTATTCCATCAGAGTCGGTAGTCTATATTCAGTACAATTTATGATAATAAGGTGTGGGGGTGGTGCCATAAAACAAGAGAATGAAAAATGTATGAGGGGAAACAAAACTCTCCATATAAGTTGTATACTAGATATTTATTCGGATTAGGCGAGATTATGGGGACATTTTATACTAGCGGGACATGCTATTTACATAATTGTCTAGGTAGAGGTGACTTAAGGTTACAGATTCTTCTATATATAGGGGAGAACATAGATCTCCATCTATTCTAGCGAGATAAAATATATGAACCCTAACATTCCTTTTAAGTTACTTAAGGCCCTTTAGGGCCCATTCAAAATCTAAATAGATTAGTTTCTATGCGCAAAAATAAAAGGGGGAGCTAGGCCATAATGGCGGGGCTTACCTTCTCTCGAAAGCGGCGGCAAGGTCTGGTCTCCTCTACGTCTCAGGCCCGACTGGTGGAATCTCTCCTGTCACTGAGAGACTCTGTGTATCTCTCTCCTGATTTAGAGAAAATATCTTTATTTACGGGCTACTAACCAAAAGTTATGATTTTTGAGCCCAAACTCGATGTCAGGTGGCAAGGAACCCTAGGATCTGGCGGCAGGAGATATCTCGCAGGGGTGGTGGAAACGTTGGGCAAGCAGGGGAACAGCGCCAGGGTGCAGTGAGGCGGGTGCGTTGAATAGGCCAGGAATCCAGGAGAAGTGGCAGATGGAATTGGAGGCAGAAGGTACTTGAAGCCTAGAACTTGAGGGCCCTAGACTTCAGGATGGGGCATCTTGAGGCTCTCTCCTCGTGCTTGTCAGGAAGGAACTATGGGATAAAACAGCCTCTACTATTATTCCGCCTTCTACATGCTATTCTGAGAAGCATTTTAAGGCACAAACAGGCCGCAGAAGGGCGCGAAGCGCCCCGAGGTGGAGGAGGCAGGGGCAAGAGGATCAAGGATCTGGCAGGGGGGGGAGGAAGCTGGAGAGGTCAGGGAAGCAGCGCCAAGAAGTGAGAGAAGCCCGGAAGGTGGCCAGTTGAGGAGGCAGGGGGCCCTGGAAGCCTAGAACTTGAGGGCTCTAAGCTTCAAGGTGGGGCAGCTCGAGGCTCTCGCCTCGTGCTTGTCAGAGAGGCCCTTGGCACAGCAGTTGGCGCACTTGGAAGTGCGCCGGTCGGCAGCGGAGGGGCAGGCGCGGCCTTCATGGCCGCCTTCACCGCAGTGGAAGCACTTGGAGTCTCTGGTGCATTGGGCGGAATTGTGGCCGAAGCCACAACAGCGGAAGCAGAGCCGTGCGCGGATGGACTCCTCGAAGTTGAGGAGCACTCCGTCCACCACGATCCTTCCGCGGTTGCCCAGAGCTCTGAAGGTGTCGATGTCCACCTCGATGAAGGCGGTGCAGGTCCCGTTTCTGGGAGCGGAACGGTGCGTCACGCGCACCACCTTGTCCCCAGGTAGTTGGCTGACAGCGGGAGTCCCCAACAGCGTCTCTTCAATGGTGGAGTTGGACGTATTCTCCTCCACTTTGAAGAGGCAGATGCGAGGCAGGAGCACCTTCTGTTGGCGGACCTTCATGCCTTGCAGCTTGTCGGCCAGGGAGGTGGTGACAGCCGGGATGGTATCGGGGTTGCTGGAGTGGAGGACAAGCTTCCCTTTGGTCCGCAGATTTAGCCAAGAAAACCTCCTTTTATCCTTGCCTCTCTTTATTTTCATTGGCTGCTCACGCCAAAGTTTCTATTGGCTGGCATTTTCATTCGTCGAAAGCAAACACGCACGTGATCATGACCACGCCTCCAATTTACCGTGTTGCCGCGCGGGAAAAAAAATTGTATATTGAAAAAACAAATTAATTCCTTTAGGAAATTAAATAATATATATATCCCGAGTATAATAAAAAAATAAGGTTATTGATTTAATGTTTATATGACAAACTGTTTTCCTTTGGTCACCTCTATCTAATAATGGGGGGGGGGGGGGATATATGTACATATGGTACAGCAGCTCCCAGCACGGATGTCTCTGGATGTCACCCATGTCTTCCTCCCCACCAGGCATCAGCTTTCGGCATGGAAGTCTGGTGTCCTCAAGTGTCTAGTTTTGTTTGTACATGTGCTCTTTGTACATCCTTCGTTTCGGCCCTTCCGCAGCGGGTTTTGGGTCTTTAGAGCACCGTCGGCCATCGTTGGGAGTTCTCCACCTAGGCAACAAACACTTCGGCGAGACACTGCGTATATATTTATATGATGTAAATGTTTACATCATTGTTGGGTCTTGTTTGGTGGAAAATCTGACCCAACACTTCTACCTGGAAGAACCATATTTAAGGTTTTTCAACCCAGAAAGGCGGTATTTTAACACTAACTTTGCATATTTCTGAGGTATCGCTAGGCTTATTTTCTGTTTCCATTTTACGTAAATTTAAATTCGACACAACAGCTTAGAGATAAAGTTAAAAATAAAAATATTGAGATAAAATAACAAGGAAGATAATATAAAAACTTATCTTAGTCTTGAGATGATATCCCGATATCCTGGATGATGCTTCTTTTCAAGCTTGAATCACTTTTTGCATTTCTTTATCTCTTGAAATCTTCGTATGCTTCTTCCTTTTGAATCACGTCCTGCTCACCAATTGTGGTGTGTCGATTTATGGTCCAGCGATGGCTCAGATAGTCTCTCAAGTTAGTGTTTTATTGGCGTTTCTTGTTGGCTACATTTATATGGGAAGACAAAAATTACAACACCCTGGAATCACATTCGGTCCTCTCTGGTGACCGCCGCTGTGTCAAGTAGTGGTAGTCATCTCTTATTTCATGGCGCCACGTGTTGCGTCATCCCAGCAGGCTGGAAGGAATCTCTCAGCCCCCACAGAGCTCGCAAGACAAGCCGTCCCAGCCGGGGCCCTTCCGCGAGGGAGGAGGCAAATGGGGCTTAAATCCAATATATGCTTTTTATTATCTATAAATATTATAAAGTAGACAGTGACCCGGGCTATATATTTAGATAAGATTTTTTTTATAATTGTTTGTTATTAGCATTATCTATTTGTTTGCATCAGCATAATTTAATCTAATCTTTGTTAGAGGGCGCTGTTCGTGAGCTAAGTAGAATAATTTGAATATATAGTTTTTATAATTGATTTATATATTTTTTAAAATAGCCTATCGTCTTCCCTTATTTTTTACCTAAGTATGGAAATTTTGGTTTGAATTAGTGAACTACTGCGAATTTGTATATGGACATACAAACAAACAAACAAACATACAAACATTCATAAAATATACAAGTATCAGAGTCATCAACAATTCTGTCACCGTTTGCTTTTGGTTCAGTGGTAGAATGCTCGCCTGACACGCGGGGGCCTGGTTGATTCCCGCAGATGCATTTTTTTTTTACAATTTTTAAAACTCATTTATATTATTAAAATATATGTGCTTTTCCTGTCTATGTACAGATTTATGGTCTATGTATACAAGTATGTATACAAGTTATTTGCAAATTGCTTGGCAAATTTGCCCTTTCGCTCGCAAGCAGCGCCTCTAGCGGTGAAGCTGGGAGGTAATATCAGCTGACCTAATGGACATGTAAAACGTGTTTTAACAGGACATAGAGAAAAATCAGGAAAATATATTTTTCGGATTTTTAGTCAGGAAAAATAAATTGACAGGTTCTGGGAAAAAAGTAGTTGTTTTTTATTCAGAAAATGATAATGACAATACTGCTGTATCATATTTGATTATCAGATACAAAATTATATCCAGAAAAATTCTAAAAAGCAGAGACCACAGGTGAAGCCAGTTCATTTTTAGTGAACAAAATTCTAACAGAAAAACATTCATTTGAGCAGAAGACACAAAGCCAGATCATCTCTTTATAAAAATATCGCTTCTCAGACACAAAGTTTGGAGCGGGACGTTTCACAAGAATGACATCCACGGCGCCAATTTATAATTGTAACGAATAGTATTTGAATAAAAGCCTTTAGTCGGGTAAAACCCGGGCGTTGCCCGGGTCATTCGGCTAGTTTTTTATATATATAGAAGATATAGATATTGAACTTTTACACCTAATGTTCTATAAAAGAGATGAACTGCAATTTAGTATAGCTTCTTCATTTTTTAAAGATTTTTTTATCCTTCAGTTTTCTTTAATGTTTTCGCAATAGACTAACTCTTTTTCTCTTCTCTAAATATATAGGAATAAATAATTAAAAAAAAAAATCTAAAAATAAATTTATGTAAATTTATTTTAACGCTGGCTACGCTGCAGTATATTTTTTTGACACCACGCCTATTTTTGTTATGGAAAAATAGGACATAGTAATCAACTTAATATAAATGTAAACATTTGATTTTTTTAAAGGTGTGTGTGTATCCGTAAATATTATATAATATATTTTAAAAGAAATCTAGAGGAGGCTTTCTCATATACTTTTGAAATCCTCTTACAAAATGGCGACAGTCACCGACCCATTGACTTTGGAAAAAGATGTAAAAAGAGCAATTGAACTTTTAGAAAAGCTTCAAAAAAGTGGCGAAGTGCCAAGCCAAAAACTTTCCGCCCTGCAAAAAGTACTCCAGAGTGACTTTTGTAATGCTGTCCGGGAAGTTTATGAACATGTTTATGAAACGGTGGATATTTCAGGTAGCCCTGATATCAGAGCCAGTGCAACTGCCAAAGCAACTGTAGCTGCCTTTGCAGCTAGTGAAGGGCATGCCCATCCACGAGTGGTTGAATTGCCAAAAACTGATGAAGGTCTTGGATTTAATGTGATGGGAGGACGAGAACAAAACTCGCCTATATACATTTCAAGAATTATTCCAGGCGGAGTTGCTGATAGGCAAGGAGGACTTAAGAGAGGTGATCAACTTTTATCAGTAAATGGTGTCAGTGTTGAAGGTGAGAACCATGAGAAGGCAGTTGAACTTCTCAAGGCTGCCCAAGGCACAGTCAAATTGGTGGTGCGTTACACTCCCAAAGTTCTTGAAGAAATGGAACTTCGATTTGATAAGCAGCGTGCAATGAGGAGAAGACAAAATCCAACTTGAACATCTACAATAACATTCCATTATTTTGTATGTATATAAAGTAAAAAGTGCAACCAATTTTTTTTATATATTACTAAATAACAACCAAAAGACTACCAGCCAAGAATATACAGTAAGGATTTGCTTTATTAATATAAATTACCTATGTTTATAAAATATAAAAAAAAAAGAATTTTTTTTTCATAAAACATTTCCAATGAGACATGGATAGAAAAAAATTCCTTTTAAAATTACTATTTTTTTTTTATTGATGTATTTAGTTCATTTCTTATACAAATCATTATATTGAAAACTGGGGCACAATTGGGAATATAATTCTTATTAAGCTCTATAAATGGTATATAACCATTTTCTAAATATGGATCTACCAACAAACGCCTAAGATTTTGTACAATGATATTCATTATAAAAAAAAATATATATAGTGATTTTTCCTGGACTCATGGCTACTTGTTCATAAGTGTTTATATAAATACCTTATTGTTTAGATAACTGATTGGGCATTATCTGTTTGTTTTTCTAATGGAAAATGGGAGAAAGTAGTGTTTATCCTTTTCCACCAATCTCCCCAACAATTTAAAAAACAAAAACTCCTTTCTGATTGTCTTATGAGCAGTAAACAATAAGGCAATCACTAAAAGTATCAACAACCAAAAAATATAAACATGTTACCAAACAATTCATCCAAACATTAACTGCCAAAAGATTTTTAGTAGCATTGTCACAACCAGTGGTGTCAATTAGATAGCATTAATTATTCTAGGCCTCAGGCAGGCACAAATTCCATGGTAAATCTCACAAGTTCGGGATGGGTATTTTAAAATTATTTTTTATTATTATTATATAATTACACTCTATATATATATATGTGTGTGGATATTATAATGGATATATATAAATCCTAGATATGTGTTGTTTATCTCTTCTTAATTTACAAATATATGGCCATATATAGAAAAATAGATATGAGAAATATATATAAACAATTTTTTTTAGCCATATAACTATTTGTGGTGTACAAAAAGATGTCTATATGTTGAAATATATATATTTAACTACTTCTTAGATATGTAACAAAAAGTTTTGAGTTTAGAAGAAATTCATTTATTTGCTCCTATATTTTCATAGAAGCTCTTGTTTAAAGCAAAAGGTCACTTGCCCAAGAAGAGCTCCTAAGAAAATGTAAGATTTGGAGAAAATAAAGGAATTTTTTTCTTCACTCACTTAAACTTTCATTTATATATTTATGCAACTTTATTATTATTATATATGTATATTACTAATATTTACATTTTTTATTATTATTTTAACGCTTAAAAAAGTAAATCCTGTTGTTCTTTATTAATTAAATTTTGATGTATTTAAATGGTTTATTATTTATATATAGTAAAAAAATTAAAAAGTTTTTTCAAATAAATTTGAAGTTTTTTTTCTTATCTAAACATGCATAGAAACGAATGCAATATAAATAGACTGACAAAACTTCCCCGTCTGTAGCAGTGGCCATTCTTCAAGAACAGGTGAATGTTATGGAACTTGCTTGAAGAACTGCATATCCAAGCTCTTTGCTTGGCTTTTAATTTATTCTTTGTATAAAAAAAAGAGAAGAAAAAGTTTCAAATATTCAAATCTCAATACTCAAAACACTATTTTCCAAATATTTCTTGAAACATTTAAAATAATGTGAAAAAAAACTATGAAACTACCTGTTTAATGATTTTTTAGGATGTCTGAATGACCAGTTTTTTTGGTCGTTGAGGTACAGCTTGTACCATGCTGACAAGGGCCAACAGCCCGAAACACGTATGTGGTTAGCTTTTCTTGATTAATCAAAAATAGGTATTTGGCCAATTCTGGAATAATAAAAAAATCAACGAATTGTTGATTTTTATTCGGATAGATTGCGCGAGCCACCAACAACTTTCAGTTGCACAATAAGGAGATGTCTTTTTTTTCTTATTTAAAATAGCAAGTCTCTTTTAGAAGTTGGACCAGTTGTAGTTGTAAGACTACTGCGTGTTATAAAACAACACCTTAAACAGCTGTGAAATTAAAGGGAGGGCCTGGCTCATCAGTGGTGAACCCTCCCAGCGGTTTCGCCAGTTTAATCTACCATACCACTGTTATATTGCATTTTTGGAACTTCCTTTTATAGTGATACTGATGCTTGACTCTTCGAATGGGTATTTTAGATGAATTATGGACATAAGCTTTTAGGACAGCATAATTACATATAATTATAAATATATAATATGCTTCGAGCAATCGCTCTTCCGCAAATATAAATTTGTGTCTTTTATTCGAACAATTATATTTCGATGCACTAGCGCGCCATCTGTTATCAAATTTAAAAATATCAAAATATCAATTTAGACGCGTAATATTCTTTTTAAAATAAAACAAAATCTACTGCCCTTACTGCATTGGAAAAATTAAAGGGAGGGCCTGGCTCATCAGTGGTGAACCCTCATATAATAGTAACATTGTAGATTTGGTTAGGTACAATTTGGATCTGTTGTATTTAAGACTAAAAGCTTATTATTTATTTAGGTAATCCAGGTTCCCGGAGCCACATACAGAAGTCAACCAACTACCCGGGCTGTCACCTATGTCTGCTTGGTTTTATTTACAATGTCAGTGGAAGTCTAATTCATGAGGTGGTGTCTGGCAGATTTCTTTCTTGGGAGATTTTCTAGGGGTAAAGGTCTTGTACAAGTATTGATGGATTGTAGATATGAATGATAAGGTAACCTAATCCAATGACGTGGTATTCTGTGGTAACAATATTCCCTTCTTCTTTCTTATCTCTACTCAATCATATTAGGGTATCAAACTGAATATATATCACATATATATAAATTCTTCTCTTCTTTCTTGTCTCCACTCAATAATATTAGGGTATCAAGCTTTTAAAGCTTGAGATCATGACTGGGTGAAGTAGAATGTGTCTGCCTTTGTCATTAAGACTGGGAGCACTACTCAGTGGCAGTCCGACTTAGCTCCAAAAGAAATGGCCGCCTCTGACATGAGGACCAGACGCCATGTGCAGCCGCTCCTAACATGGAGTACAAACGTTGCTCATCCTGTATCCCTGGATTAGGAGCCCTTACAGGGTACTATCAGCCGGGCCAGCTGAGCCCAGGTTTTTTAGTGAGCTTGTTACTGCTCCCCCTCCTCCTTTTTCATCGGGCTTGGGACCGGCAAAGGCGGAGTTATATATATAAATTAATTATTTGAACTTTTGAGATTTAATACTTAACAATATCCAAAAGTTGAAACATTACCAACTCCACAAAAAAGAAAAAAAAGTAGGACTCTAAATGACAATTTGGTTGT